GGAGACCACCTAACTTGATCCACTCTCGTAAAAGAACACGACATTTAGATATCATTTAAAATGATAGAAATAGCTGTGCACCAATGGCTCCAGAAATTTGCCGACAAGGGGTCCGACATGTCCGATGGAGGTGTCCGAACCAAGGGGACGACTAAAGCCTGGGTCGTGGGGTCCGGGAGAGTTTTTATGGCTTATATGGTCAAAATTGTGCATTTAGAAACCACAATATTTGAGATTGGCCATCAAAATAACGTTATTTGGATAGGGAAATTATTATTTTGTTGATCCGGCGACCTCGTCATGGCGTCGGACGACAGGGGTCCAGGCCTGTCCGAAAAGGTGGAAAATTCCCCCTGTCCCCTTGGCGCCACCACTGAGCTAGTCATAGGCCTGCCCAGCAGATCCCTGGGGCGGATGTAGGGAGGAGGGGATGTAGAGAGTGCGATCGCACCCCCTTAAATTTTAAAAAGAAAAAACAATTGTTGTATTATATTGTTGATATGAATTATTGGTAAGATTTTTAAGGTACATGAGAGTGCAATTTCCGTGCACCCAGAGGCCCATATTCTCAAAATGTTCACACCTCAGCTTCAACCATGTTGGGGTTGAGGTAGTGTCTCACGCACCAATGGGCGCAGATCATGGGGGAAGGGGTAAACGTCCAGGTTTCCAGGATTTGCCCGACGGGGGTGGGGGTTGGTCTGAGGTTTCCTACGGAACAAGCGCTGTCTCTTATACACATCTAGATGTGTATAAGAGACATCTCCTCACCTTTCGGGAGTCAAGAAGATATGTTTGAAAATTGTTGACATAAATGCATAAATGATAACTAAAGAGCGCTGTACAGCCCGAGTACATCATTTTCGGCCATCTTGAGGTACTATTTCCTCAAATTTTCTCACCACTGCCCCAACCATGGCGGGCCTTAGGTTGTTGTGGACTCACGGCTTTGAAAGTAGGTAAAGTAGGCCTAAATACACCAAAGAGAATGTTTTTAAGTTTTGTTCAGGCCATTTACAGGTACTATTTCCTTAAATTTTTGCACGCACCCCCTACCGCCAAAGGGGATTTTTTTTTATTGATGGTAAATACTAACCATATCAGGGGACGTTATATTTTCATTGCGGATTTTTTGGGCTCAGTACGGACTCCAAAAGTATGCACTTTCTTTTAGTTTTAAGGCGTATGCGGATTTTATAAGTCCGTAATGACGATATAACGTCTGAGAACTACAATAGTTTGTCAAATGTGAATTAAATTTACTATATGAACAAGTAGATACATTACCTATTTTGAATCCAACTAAAATAATTTGAATTTGAACCAGGAAATATATGTCAAAATTCGACATGTTGGTTTCTCCAGTCCTCGTTAGCCTTGAATAACAACAATAGGAAAGCAGTGGTTTGTAATGATGTCATTATATTCGTATTTAGCTTAGAGTACCATGTCGTGTCGTCACGACGCCAGGTGGCACTCTCTGTTGTCAACAGACGTTGGTTACCGTTCAATACGCCTGAATGCCTTCATAGGCTTTCTGGAATAGGCATTTTAACATCTAATATTTTACCATCAAAATGTACTAAAAACACAAAAGCTCGTATTAGTTATCGAACACACATTTAGTCATCAATTAAAATTTACAAAGAAAAAGTAAGATACAACATCTTAATAATTACTTTAGAAATTGGGATCAATGGTTTGTCAGTGGCGAAAATGACGCCCGGTTGAACTCTTTTCCCAACGACAGCAACGGAGTAGTATCACGCGGTATCATGACGTAACACTGTAGTACTCTATAACAATGTTTTGATTACGGTTTTCTATGTAAATAATAGACAAAAAAAATGAGCAATAGGCTACCGTAAAACCTCTCATAGAGGCCCTGGGCTTCTTTGTATAGGACTGTAGGATGGGGTTCTTTCCGAGAGCCTTAGGATTTTCGATACTATTTATACAAGTAAAGAGAGGGGCTTCTTTTCAAAATAATGGCGCAACTTTTGGGAATTACTACTACTATAAAACAATGACTACTGGAAATAGTTTTCAACCATGAAATCCTGTTAAAAAACAAGAAAATCTTTTTTTCTTTAAATAAAGTGAATATTTTTATACAATCACAACATCAGAGAGAAAATTAATCTGTATCATGGAGTGTATTAATCGGTATTAAATCACAAACTACTAAGTGTTTTTCATTGTTTATCTGTTTCTTTAAAATTCATTTAAGTACGCCTACTATACTATCTTGTAAAGAAGCACATACTATCGTGAATAGAAGCATATGGGCTTTCTTTTTGAGATTAATTTTTGCAAACTAAAGAAGGGGTGGGTTGGGGGCTTCATTTCAAGATTTCAAAACTCTCGATATTAATTTCATAGGGATTCTATTCGAGCTTTTACGGTATGTGTTGAAAATGATAAATCATACATAAGCTATATTGCCCTGGATTTCTTTCTTTTTTTTCTTTTTTTTTCTTTCGTGGGGATCATCGCCCATCTTTATTTGTTCTATTTTTCCATGGCTCTCATTTTCGGTTTTCTCTCATATTATACAGTGATCCTATAATGTACCGATATTTACATACGTGTTCACAATTCACAACAATAATGTATTTAAATTCATTACAATATAAAACAAAATTAAAAGTAAAATTAATTGCATTTCATAAGCATAATTTATATAAAGGGGAGAAAATTGCAAATTTTCAGCAATTTCATGTTAGTACACGGTTTTCTTAATGTATTTAAGGGCCAATTATATATAAATAACAGGCCAAAGATAATCTCGAGTTTTAAGCAAGTTGCTATCTTTAAGACGTGGGGTGAAACTCTTGGCGCAAAGTTCATAGGGTTTTTTTTTACCATTTCAAAAATTTGTAATGTTACTACACTACAATAGGACACAATTTAATAATTTTGCCACGAGAAAAGAAGGCACTTCAAGAACTATTTTCGCAGGCTGGACTAATAGCTCCCTTGGTAAAATTTGAACCAGGGCTATTTAATATAATTTTTATGCAATTCGCGACGTCTGTTTTGATTTTTATCAATATTGTGGAGTTTCTGTGATTTTTATGTTAATTTTGACCGAACAAATGATTAAATATATTGATTTTTACAGACACTATTGTATTTCAAAAACATTATTATTCTGATTGTAATAATGAACAAAACGAAGACAAAATCTTTTTAATTGAATATTCTTTTATTCACTATTCAGTATGCCACTAAAAATATGTTGAGCCCATTGGACATGCTTCATAATGAATGTTATTCTGGGTACCGTAACGTCCCTAAAGCCTGGTTTCCTTAAAATCGCTACATTGTCGCTACAGTGTTTTCAGTGTAATCGTTGTACTGCGTAGCAATCCCCCGACACAATCAGGAAGGCTCTCTGATTCGACCGACCAATCAGCATCACCGAAATCTATCGGCGATAATGTGTAGCGATTGTATGGAAACAAAACTTAATCAAATCCTCTTACGAAATGTCTACTTTCTCTGATCAGCCGGAAATTCATAAATTCATCATCAAATATTTAAAAAAAAAACCCTGCTCTCTCTAGGCCCACTTTCTGCATGGCTTCTTAAAATGGATATCGTTAATATATGCTTCTCTTAAAGAAAACACAGAATTTTTAGTCATTGCAAACTTGATAGTCCTGAATAATCAGACGTTTCCACCAATATGGTAACAAAATACTTTAAATCCTCTCGTACCATTATAATTTCTGGTGTCTAGTTTGACAGCATCCTCCCAACAAAATTAGCCTCTGTACATGCAAACAACTAATTTCGTTATGTTTTTCTTGATTTTTAGTTAGCAGTAGCATGGTGGTCGTCTTTCTCAATGTGCCGTAGTTGTATTCAAAGCGATATATATTGGCAAAGGTAATGTCGAAGATTGCATCTCGTACTCAGAGAGCTGAGACAGCGAATCAGAACAAAGGAAACGGCTTTTCACTGAAAGTAATTAATGATAACATTTTTTTTATTTTAATTGTTTGCATCCGAAGGCAGGGAGCCCGAAAGTTACAGAATGGAACCAAAAACAGTGAGATAAATGAAAACCACAAATTAATTATAAAACAAGCAAACAACCTTAAAAGTAAAACCACAAATTAATTATAAAACAAGCAAACAACCTTAACAACTAGATACATCACTTAATTCTACGTTTCAAAATTTAAATTTCGAAAGAACCAAAATAACTATTTAAATAGGCGGATCTTAACGACAGAAGAATTATATAACTTTAGTCATTATAACGATTATATTTATATTTTGAATCATCAGCTTCATTCTTATTTATTATCATTTTTAATATTGTTATTAATAAAATGTGTATGCAAACATGTTTTGCATTCTTGTCCTAGGACTTACCAAAGCTAAGAAGAAGAGAGGAACCCATGACATGAATTACCTCTCAGTTTTGTCCATTAGCATACATTTTAAAATAAACTGCAAGCGGTAAACATTCAGATACTAATAAACACTTATTAGATATCGCAGAGTAAATATTTTATGTTGGTATATTGAGGAAAAGCATTACTCATATTCATGTCCCATACACTTCAAGGGGATTTGATAAGGATCGATTTTGTTTTGGTAACTTGAATGTTTTCTTCTGGGAGTAGTTAGACCTCACGTCCACTGGTCTGTGAAATTGCATAATCATACGTGTTTTCAGTCCTTGTTTGGATGACATCGTTTTGATATTGCTGCTCTATCAAATCGTCTCTAACGATGTTGGCATAATTATTAAGTTCAGTTGCGTCTTCAACTGCCCGAATATTTGTTGTCAGATTGTCATCTTGGACTTCACGCGTATTGTTCCCATTTGGATGGCTGCATCTGGAATAGATAGATGTATTAGACCTACTTCTTTCAAATTATTTTTTTGAAAGATTAATTGGTTGGTTGTTGGTTAGTCGGTTAATCATCGGTCGTTCGGTGATGATGAATAGATGAATAAAGAAATTTAAAAGTAAGAAACGACGGGTTTATGACGGATAAACAAACGAACAAATGAAGAACAAACGAACGAGTGATTTAACACACAAAAGAACAAAGGAACAAAATAACAAATTATATTATGTGTAAGTAAGTAAAATAGATGTTAAATGAAAGAGATAATCAAGTGAGTTCATATTCAATCATGCAGTGTGCCCTACAATTCGAGACCACTCTGGGACCTGAAAAGTTTGAGTTGTCTCGGCGTTCGGTCTCTACTAGAGCGTTGGCTTTTTCATTGAAGATTGTTAATTAGTTCTTTGACAAAGTGGTCTCGAATTAGATGAGTCTCGGAATTCGAATTATAGGGTGCACTGTATTGAAATTATTAACAATATCATAAATGTCAACAACTCAATAACATTTGAAATTAAAGTATATACATTATTTCGTTAAATAACCTATCATATATTATTGTCATAACATTAAACATTGGAAAAAAGAAAACGTAATTAAATTAATTTCAAAAGGATACAGAAAAGGTCCAAAAATCAAACTAATACGCACAATCGACCAAATAAATAAACAAAAATGGTAAAGGACGATGGAGTAACAACATTTTTTAAAGGCTAGATAGTAATCTAAGCATTTACTGAATATTTTACTTAATACTGTTACTAAAATGATTAATGTATCGAAAAACAATACCTGTAGTATAGGCCAAATAAGGAAATAAGAAAGATGATGATGATGGAAAGAGCAGCCACTAGTACAATCATGAATCCCGGGATTGATGATCCTATAGACATAATAATAATAATAATAATAATAATAATAATAATAATAATAATAATAATAATAATAATAATAATAATAAATAGTATTTTGCATTTTAAAAATTAAAAATAATATGAATAATGATAATGGAAATAACAATGACATTGTAAATAAAAATGAGCAACAACAACAACAATAATAATAATAATAATAATAATAATAATAATAGTAATAATAATAATAATAATAATAATAATAATAATAATAATAAAAATGATAATATTAATACAAAATAATTGTTAAGTCAGTGTGACATCATTATTATAAAATTCTGTATAATTATACTTTTTTTTTATCCCCAGCGGTCACTTAGGTGCTATAGAAACCAGTATGTTTTGCGGCTCGAGTAAAAAAGTTACAAATTAGTTTATTTCAATATTTTCATAATATTGACAACGCGGAGTGTATTTCGTTGCATACGCTAAAAGCCTTCTTTACGACATTGGCGTAAGGAGCCTACGAATCAGACCAGGCGTAGAAAAGAGCTAGGCTAAAAAAGCTTACAATATTAAATTATGTGTCGGTACTATATAAATAGTACAAAATTATATCATGTAATTTATGTCAAAAAAGTGTCCCCGGGCACTTTATTTTGTCAGGAAATAATGGCTCACTTTAGATTATATTTCCAACAGAAGTCTCAAACCCTGAAAAAATTGCTTATCATTGATTATATAAAACATAATTTATTATTGTTTGTTTCAATATATCTATAGTTATCTGTGGGAGTTTTATTTAGAGGTTCTTTAAAATGCTCAGTTTGTAGCAACATTGTGGTGTAGTTTGATAAACAGATTATGCAGGAATATAGGATGATCTGTCACACTTCCAGAGAAATAGAACAAAACTTTATACAAATACCTGTACTTTGCTCAGCGGTGAAAAATGGGCTCCAGTTTCCCACACCAGCCCCATTGACTACTCTAGCCTGTAGGTATAAAGATATGGTTTATCTATTATATAATATTAATTCCCTAATTATCAACCAAACGAAAGAATACGTTCTGCGTCCATTTGTCAAGGTTACTTTTAAGCGTAATTCAGAAAGTCATACACATGAAATTGCTTTGACTTGACTAGGCCTAAATAAAAATAGCGTTTTAGCTAAGGTTTAGAAATACCGTAAAGATGAATTACTTACAATAACTTTATACTTTGCATCTTCTACCACACTTGATATTTTGTAGCCGTAGATCCCTTGGTCTGCTGTAAGCGTTTGGTTCTTCCACTCTTCGCTATTTCTTGATCTGTATCTCACATCAAAACCAATTATATTCCCATAAAGATTTCTGTTGAATGACTCAGATGGGTACACAGAAACGGTAAGGAATGAACCATCCTGTGTTGCTGAGACTCCTGGAACTGGAGGTACTGGAAAATCAAACAGTGAAAATTATTGTTATAGAATTTCATTATGAAACCTATATTCTCACATTGAAATAATTATTGTATTTTCTGGAACCATGGAGATATCTGTGGTACTTCGTAAATAATTGCCACATTTTGTTATAGCATGAAGGTAATGTCGCATTTTTGTAACAAACTTTTGCACTTAGTAACCACGGAGCTGTCACAATTAATTTGTAATTTTCAATATATGGACATGATGATGCCATACTACAACATTTGTCATTATGAAACATATATTCGCATATTGCAATAATTATTGTGCTTTGTGAAACCATAGAGATAGATTTATATAGGCCTAGAAAAATTGCAGTCATTTGTTACATAACAATTAATACGGTAGACGTGTGGACAGAGGTAAGAAAAAACGCTAACTCTCTTCAGGTGAGAACACTTGTACCACTCTTGCCATCCCAGCAAAATCCTTGTTACTTGCTGTTACAGAGATGATGTATTCTGTGTATATTTCAAGTTCCATTATTGTATATAAATCATCAATTGTCGTTTTCTCAGTGATCATGGACACGTCTGTATTAACAGGTCTATAAGATATCGTATAACGCTCTACACCAGTTGAACACTTGGCTTCCGTAATCTGGATAAAAAAAAGTGCATGTCTAAGTATTTTTTATAGAAATTTAAATTTGTTAGTACAAGCAGTTTATATATATTTATTCATCTTGCAATTGTTAGGAATAAAAAGGACATTTATCAGAAATTTGTCATCAAAATCTACAACAATATTTAAAAAAAAATAAATAATAAGAATACCATTGTAGCCTCATATTTGTGTCTGACAGAATTGCTGATAAGGTCATTAGACTAAAAATATTAACATGACATTGTTTTTATACTATTTTTTAAAATCCTTTCTTTTTAAATGCTTTTATACATCTATGCTTTTAGTATTGCAACAACAAAGAGAGTAATGAAGCATACTGTGTACATAAACTAAAATTAAAGAATATATTTTCTTTCCAAATTTACGATCAACAGGAAGGAATGATTAATCTAGAAAGAAGGAATGAACCATTTACCGTTAATCGTTGCAAAACAATGTTGATCCTTTTAGGTAACTTATAACTTGAATTTGCTTCGACTACCGGTGCTGATGGTTCTGAAATAAAACAACACACATTCTAATAATAACATTACAGAATTTTGTTTGCATTAACAGTCTAAATATGTCAACAATCTTATCATCTTCAGCTTTCCGATCATCATCATCATCATCATCATCTATTATGATCATCTATTATTATTATTATTATTATTATTATTACCGTCATCATCATTAATCATCACTAAGCCTATAATAAACCATCATCATCATTATCATCATCCTTACAATTAATTATTATCTTCATAAATCATAATCATTATCATAAAACATCCTAATAAAATCATCATCACTACTATCAACCAACATTACCATCATCACTATAAATTATAATCACTCTAAATCATTATTTTCATAAACCATGACCATAATTCCTTACCATCACCTTCATTATCACCATTATTTTCATCATCATCCTTATCATTTCAACAAAATTATAGATCACCATCATTATTAAAACTAGCATCATAAGCATGATCAGAAGCGTAAGTCACCATTAAAATTGTATGTATCTTTCATAAAATATAATGAGAAATGTTTACAATAAAATTACCTTACTTTCATATTAAATTGATTGACAAATTGATAAACTATTTGTCATTACTTAAATTAATACATTTATTGCGCTACCAAGAAAAAAAAACATCTTAAAACAAATAGGTTTGCATTTTGTCAAATTAGATTATTTAAATGTGTTTACCTCCACAGATTGTTGATACAGTTAGCTCATTACTTCCCCTTGGACCTTCACCCCCAGCACCTTCCCTGACCGCTGCTATAGCAAAGACATATTCTTCTTCCCACCGTAAACCAGTCACTGTGGCTGTAAGACTGTTGTCTTGAGGTATGTGGCTCCAGAGCCCAGATGATGAAGATCGTCTGTAATATAGAACATATCCAATAACGGGACCATCACCACTATCTCCACTACTGGTACTCCAGTTCCTCCATCTCAATTCCACTGATGATCCAGTACTCGTCAGTGAGCTTGGCTGTCCAGTGTACGTTGGTAATACTAGTTGAAAAAAAAACGTACGATAAAATTAAATTCATTAAAATTCATTAAAATCATGATAAACCACTAATATTTAACATAAATTACATAATAATACAAAATAATGAAAAAAAAAGAAAGTAAAAAAAAAAGAAACAACTAGAGATACTATGTTCAATAGAACATGAACCCAGTCATTTTTTAAGAGATAACCACTGTGACCTTTAACCTCAACCTGTGAACACCTCATGTTTGGTAGGAGTCTGTCTAATGCAATTGGTCCAATCGTTAGTCACTAGCAATATTTGATAATTTTTACTATAGTGACCCTTGTGATTTTTGACCTATAGGTGAAGAGTAGTTGTTCATGTTTAGAAGGTCCCAAGGATCATTCCTGGTAAATTCGAGGATTATATTTGGTCCAATGGTTTGCCATTAGTAGCATTTTGAAATTTTACTAGAGAGAACAAAAGAATAACGCTTTAATGACCTTTGACCGTAAATCGCTTAACACCATAAAGACCCTACTTTATGCCAATACATATGTGCCCAGGACAAGACTGTGCTATGTTATTTGTGACAGAAGTCTTTTATTCATTTTTTTGAAAGTTTTTTACCCTAATGACCTCTGTGTGTCCTTTGACCCCAAGCAGTGAACACCCCATGTATGAGAGGTGCCACCGATTATACTGACCAGGTTTGGTTTAAATCGGCACAACCGTTTGGCACTAGTAGCGTTTGGAAATTTGCCAGAAAAAATATAAAAATTACCCCTTAATGACCTTTGACTCCTTATCCCTGAACACTCTATAGACCCTGCCTTATGCCAATGTATATGTGCAAAAGACAAGACTGTGCTACGTTATTTGTGAGACAAGTAGTCTTTTGTACGATTTTTGGTTTTTTGACCCTAATTCCCCTTATGTAACCTTTGACCCCAAGTTGTGAACAACACATAAATGGGATGTGGCACCGGTCCTACTGACCAAGTTTTAATTAAATCGGTCTAGTAGTTTGCTTCTAGTAGCCTTTTAAAATGTTGCCAGAAAGAAAGAAAGAAGAAACTGCTCGGAAACAGAACCCAGTCAGCATGCTGCTGACTGGGTAAAAACAACTTACCAAAGATATTAAGTGAATGATCTGCATATGCTGTATAAGATTCCTTAGCAAGTGTGCAGACATACGTAACAGCAGGATTTGCTTCACCGGTAAATTTAACTCTTGTAACTCCATTTGATTCTGTGCGTACAGTTTCTGAAGCAGGTTGACTGCCAATAAGAAACTGAATGGTAATGCCATCCACATTACCTTGAATGTCACATTGGAATGTGGACATCTGACTTGGATTAACTTTTGTGTTGGAAGATGCAGAAATTCCTACAATAGCAACAAATAGGAATAAAAAATATATATATAGAAATATATAAATTATGATGAAAATGTATTTCCTCTTGTAAGAATGATTTATTTATTTTTTATATATTTTCTATTATTTTAATGTTTTAATTTCTACTTACCTTAACTGAGATGCGTATTCGGTAGCGAGCTATTAATCTTCCATAGGGTACAGTAAGTTAAGTCTAATTATGAGGCTTATGGAAGTTGAGCTTTTTTGACAGTATTTGTACCCAAGATGTTAAAATGAACTAAATCATTTAACTGCGTTCTTTATTGTGAACATGGGCCATAGTGCACACGAGTTGAAACACAAGAAGACTGGGCATAAATTTGAACCAGTTCAGGGCACACGCATTGGCTTTTAGCTGTTTTGCCAACTTTGCTAAAGCTCCACGACTATTTCTTTAAATTAATACTGTACTTTAATTAATGGTATTTGTTTGGCTATTAACTATAGCAGGACACTTTCCATTGTATTTATTACGTTTTTGTTCAGTCTTCCGAGAGCTATACCACACATTAAAACATTAAAATAGAAAGAAAATATATATAACTAAAAGAAAGCATAATTATTCTTATTTATTTATTTTTTTATTCAGGTATAGAAGAGTATACAAACAGCAGCCAATGGCTGAAATGAAATTTACAAAAATATAAGAATATCAAAATTATTATATACAAAATTGCTACAAGAAAGGACAAAACATTACAAATACATACAAAGAAATATTACATTAAAAATTACTAAACTCAATTATAACCCCTAAATATTTCTTTAATGACACCAAAATCAGGTCCGTAGCAAGGAGGGGTTTTTATGGTTCTAGCGAACCCCCTCAAATTTTTGAATGAGTCCCACTCGGACGGATGTCTGTTTTTAACTTACCCAGCATTAAATCAAAATTTAGCACCTAATTCATATTTGGTCACCCGTTTTTAAATTCTAACCTGCGATACAAGCCTTCATTCAAGTTAGGAGATTTAAATTGAACGCAACTCCGGCAAACCATGATTTTACGATGGCTCAAATATAAGGATGGCAAACATCGATAAAAACCCGGCTCCCGTCTCAACTTTGACTGGCCTTTGCCTGAATGTTTGTAAGAAATGTACCAACCGGTAACGAAACCGGTCGCCGTCTACCTAGAGTAAATGGAGCCACCAAATGCAGCTAAAGTTTTGCGACTTATTCACCTGATTCTGGACTGTGTGGTTAGTAAATTCTATAGCCATACTGTCCACAGCGCACACTAACCTATTTGCTGATGGAGCTTTTTTTGGAAATTGACTCCTTTTTTCCATCCCAAACAAAATATTATTAATAAGTCAACATGGTCCATCTCAGTCATCATAGCCAGTCACAAAATTAGGAAGGTTGTTTTCAACAGCAGACACACACACAACAGAATGGAGTGCGTCAAAACCAGTGTTTTTTAGTGATAAAGAATTATGAGACGTCGTAGAATAACTGACTTTTTTCGTCCACTGTGGCAAAGAAGAAAACGACAGATAGTTCCGGCTTTAAGGTGGGTTATTTTCACAAAAACGTGATGCAATAATGAAAAAATGATTATTATTGTTCATTTTCAATTTTTTCCTATTTTTCTTTCTTCCTATGCTTCTTCTATATTTTCGTTTAAATTTAATTTGTTATACTAAATACATATTTACGCATAATATTTCTATGTAGATATATATATATATAAGTTTATATCATTTTAATACAGATTTACATATTTTTTGTAATCTAGAAATAGGTCTATGTATACTTTGTGTCTGTATTTAACATGTTTCAATCTTTTGCTTTATTTAAATATCAATTATTATCATAAATTTTAATGATTACATTATTTCATATAGTATTTTAAATAAATTTATAAACAATTTTAAATATTTAAATATAAACTATGAAAGTAAATACACGTAGATTAGATCAATAAAAATGGACATATAAGGCCTAGTAATCTTTATCTATTCATTAACACGAATAACATTTTCAATATTCTAATCAATTTTTATATAGCCGGAGTTAGTTTCGACCTAGGCAAACCTTTGCTAAAAAGGTACACTTTCTCCATCAAAAGGCTTCTTCTATGAATGGAATGACCTGTTCGAAGCACGAACTCCTGTAGACCAAACCCAGTACCGTTACGATGTTTAATCGTACGGGAAATCCACTCAAGATGCAGTACCGTTACGATTTTTAATGGTACGGGAAATCCACTCACGAAATATTTTCTAATTTTATTATATTACCACCTTTTTATTACATAGATCTTTTTCAAAACATAACTTCTTTTATAACCTTATATAGACCCATTAAAAACAAAAACTGCTCTGGCTTTGGGGGCTTCGCCCCCGACCCCACCGGGGCCCTTAGGCAGGCCCCTGGACCCCACGCCCAGAGAACCCACCCTTGAAATGACCTGGCTACGGGCCTGAAAATGGGATAAATATAGATAATATAAGTACATAAAAATTTTGATTATTTCTAATTATTGAATTATTTCTAACATTACAAAATTAATTAATTAAGTTAAAAAAAATAATGCATATAATCACCACCTATAGAAAAACTGCATTCAAGAAAAATTATGATTATGAGGCCTAACAACTAATCCACCACTAGACGGGATTAAAAAATGGTAATGTTAATGTTACGTGCTTAATAAACAACATCAAATAATCAATGTTGCTCATTAAGCAGGTTAACAACTGTAGGAATAGATGATTTTTCATTTTTGTGGTTTACAGAAGGCAACTTCAAGAAAGTGGTTCGATCTATTAGAGACCTAGTCACTTGATTAAAATAAAGGGAGGAAATTTGTCAACATGTCAGACTTCGACGAACTTTCCCCAAAATACAAAACTATAGTATTTCTCTTCTTGTCACAAGGGTAATTGGTAATCCTGTAACAGAGAGGGCATGGTCGTAGTGCAAATAATTGCAACGTAAAAGCATACGGAAAGCTCTCTTTTGTACCATTTCAATAGACTAAGACATGCGTTAATGTGTAATAGCACCATGCTACACAGGGGCAGCATACTAAAAAATAAGCCTTATGTAGGCCACATAGAGAGATAAAAAGTCAACAGTTATTTTTAAACAACACTCAATACTGATATCTAAGATGCATTTTAAGTTTAATTTTGTTGTCTTAAATCATACGGTAAACTGTTCCCGAGTTAAATTCCGTAATATATAAAACATGTTTGTATTTCAAGTTAAAATTTTGGTGATTTCTGGTTAGAATATTGTGTATGCTACCAGTGTATTGCAAAATATCACATAGGTATGATGGTACAGATGTAAACATCTAAATATTGTGCATACTGTATAGTATTCAATTCTTATTTCAATAGTTACCCATCCTATTGTCATAATCCATTTGTGTTACCTGAGTTCTACTATCAGCGCCTGTATTAGTTTCACAACTCTATTCTAAACTCTTTGTACCTCTAAAGTATAAGCCTTTGAATCAGTACCCCAGACAGTTTCACAATAATCAACACATGACATAAAAATAGAGCGTTGTTAAATAATTTCACTTTTTTTAATCGGTAAAATAGATGTAGAGTTTCTGATAGTACAGTATTGCACATATCAATAGTACTTTCCATGTGAATGTTTCATCGAAAGTTACATCCCAAATACTTAAATGTTTGGACTTTGTCAATCGTGTCAGCGATTCTGTTTCTGGTTCTGGTGTGTAAAGCTGACCACAAAATGACCCCAAAATTAGGAGTATAACAGGAGCGGTAGAAATAGCATCGAATGATAGGAAAGGTCCACCACCGCAGTTAAAGACGCACAGCGTCTGTCATGAGC